AATAACTACATATATACTAAGCTAATATTACTCATATTTCAACACAGCACTAACATATATCCCTAATACCAATCTCTAATATGTATTACTATTAATTTCTACAAAACAATATAACGCCCATTATTACCATATCAGAGCTTACCATAACGGTTTGTATTATATAACCCTACAGAGTTTTTTCGTGATTATTCAACATTATCGAGTTTTTCAATATCCATATCGAAATCTTGATTCCACGTTGATAATACTGACCAATACTATACATTCCATCATACTCAATATCAGAAATCGTTATTTTAAAATTCATATCTCTATCCTTTCTATCAATATCATTACAAGGCATTTTCTTGATAGGTTCAATCGTTAGAGATGTTTTGTTATTCAATACAGGTAGATAGCTAATTTCTTTGCACTTTATTTGGATAGCATTATCACCTTTATTTTGGTAACCGATGACTCTTTATAACTATCCATTTTGTATATACTTATTATATCATTTTCATAGTTCATGCTATCGTTGTCAAGTCTAGCTTTCATAAACTTCTTCAGCAATTCTTTCATCATCGTATTCATTTTTACAACCACGTCCAATGGTGCTTATATTATTATCATCGCTCCATCTTGATTATAATGTCTAGGGACAGATAATTTATTAGTATCATCTGTATCAGCAGGTTTTTGATAATAAATAAACATTTTATATTCATCTTTTTTAACATCAATTCCCTTTTTATAACAATATCTAACGGCATATGTTCTGCTATCATTACCTTTATCAGCAGGTTTTTGATAATAGTTGAATGCCTTATATTCGTTCTTATCAACTCTAATTCCAATTCCATATTGATAACACAGTCCAAGATCGTTCTGTATCTTTAAACCACCTTCAGCAGGTGTTCGATAACAGACACGTATCTTGTTCTTATTCTTTTTAACTCTATTGTTTTTTTTTATAACAATGCTCAAGATTATTCTGTTCATTGGTTTCAGGTTTGTTTTCTGAATTTACATCTTTTATACCTAATCTCCTTTTATTCTATTTATTAATGCTCCAATTTTTCTTTCCATTAAAATTTATGCATCTAATATCTACACTACTTTTAACCATTTTATCAACATTATCAATCTTATGATCAATATCTTTTGGAGCTTCATCATTTACCATTTAGACATCAGGTATATGTTTTTCAGGTTCTTTTTTGTTAATGTTTATTTTATTTGCCATGCTAACGACCCTACTCTTTTTCTTTATATAATTGGCACCATAATAACCATTGTTCTACAATTTGTCTCTAACACGCTTCACGTTTGCAATATCATCATCTTTGACTTTTTTTTCTTCACTTTTACCAGTACAGGAACTTCTTTACAATAGTTTTAACATTCACAGCACCTTTCTTCATTGATTTTCATGTGACGTACTTCTATATATTTAATATTCAAGCATTGATTACTAGCTTAATTTTTTAAAAAACACCAATGAGTCATATACCCCTTTACATCAATATATATAACAGAGACATATCCCACACCTATCTTATTTCTCTTGAACCGTCTTCAAATATTCTAAGATTTCTTGAACCACCAGCTTCACCAATGTAGCTAGATAGTTTGGCCTTTTCATTCTTTTTGGTTTAATCACTCAGATAGACTTTTCTTCGTTTCAACTCAAACAACGTTAATTTTGCTATCAAGACTTTAATCACAAGAATTCAATAACTCTATTCACCTAATTGACTTTGGTTTCACAACTCTACCAATTTTGGTCTCATAGTTCTATTGATTTTGGTCTCTATGCTTTATTAATCTTTGGCCTCAAAGTTTTACCAATCTTTGGTCTTAACTTTTACCAATCTTTGGTCTCAATGCTTTACCAATCTTTGATCTTAATGTTTTATTACCTTCGGTTTCATAGATTTACCACTTTCGGCTTCATAGACTACAACTTTTGATTTCACAGCTTTATTTTTTTTACTTATTTCTGCAAGTAAGACCTTCTCTTGCCCAGGTTCTTATATCATATACAAAATTCTACTTTACCAATTCTGGGTCCAATCTCACTAAGAGATTGTTCGCTTTGCTTGAGTTTTGCTTGACTGGTATACATTAGCAAAATTTTTAAGCAGATATATATCGATTAATCGATATATATCGATTAAAAATTATTAATATATATCGATTAACTGCTATATATCGATATATATCACTAATAATAAATGACGATTATTAATATATAACGATTATAATCACTATCAATTAATAACAATTTTATAAAATTCAACCAATTTTTTTAAACTTTAACATTAATTTTCTCGATAACTATCGATCCAAATCAGCTCAAATTTTTACTA